AACAGCACGATTCGAGGCGGCTTAACCGACAAATCCGAGGTAAGACCCCTCGCGAAATCTCTATTTCCGCGAACGCCATGTTTCCACGGCGTTCCCCGTGCAACCGTGGCCGCCGGAAGTGCTCTCCCCCCGCCTCTCCCCGGCCTCGTACCTCTAGCCGATTCTAAAACCCCGGGTCTGCCTGCGTCGCGGGCGCGTGTCTGTCATGTAAATCTTAAAGGATTACGCCTCATAATTGCCTGCGTCGCCGCGTAATTGAAGAGCACTTAGACTGGCTCAGAGCCGACGTGATACGTGACTACCTCGTACCGATCGAAGATCCCGACGAAACGATTCCGTCACGAGTGGGAGGGGGAGGGGGAGGCGGAGGGAGAGGCAGTCTCGATACGGGGGGGGGAGGGGGGAGTTGCCGCACCGTGCGACGCACGGTGAACGGAGTGGCCCACATTGGCCAGGATGTGGAGGATGTCGCGATATACGCGACTCCGGCTATTGACTTGTGAACTATGTTCGTGCCCTCTATGTATCTTCTCGCAGATATGGAAGGGTTACAGAAGTTTAGACAAGAAAACAGCTGCTGCCTCCGATAAGAAGTTTCTTAATCAACTATTAACCGATTAATGTTTCCTTCTTGTTGGCTGATGTCGACGATAACTGCGAACTTCAAGGATTATTTATGAGAAATGGAAGATCCTCGGTGTTACTTCGAGGATGATATTATTTGGTCGATCGCTTTCCCACTTTTCGATATCGAGACGGTCAGCCCCAAATGTCGTCCAGCTCGGTCGCGGTTTTATTAACTAATGCAATCGTAATCGCGCACGATCTTCACGCAGCTCGTCGACTTTCGTGCGATCCGATCTGTCTACGTCTAAACTTAGCCAGGGCGCCTGGTCCAAGCCTAATCTCCGCGAGCTACCGTCAAGCTTAATGGATTAATTTTGTAATTGGGTAGTTTGTATAATTGAGACATAACTACGCAACTATGACCGGAGATCGGCGCAGCGGAAGCTTACGGCAAAATTTTAACGCGAACTCTCGGACCTCACTCTGCCATGAGTGTTGGACTATGCTCGGAAATGTCAACAGTGCGTTACCGGTTTATGGAAAAGTTGGGATACGAAACTATTCCAGCCCTTTGTCGGAAGCTTCCGCCGTCTCTTTGTAGTACCACAATCGATTGGCGTTTTAGCGATTTAGTAACAAAGTGACAAGTCTGTCAGTCGATGCGGTCGCGACGAATATTGTGTGTAAAACTTTTGCTGGAACTATTGTTTTAAATATATTCTGCGGTATCGCCGAAACAATTGCGATATTATTATGTTAAATTCCTTGATCTTCTGCTTTGCCAGATTATTAGAAGATATATCGGTCTATATTTTCTGTGATTTATTCGATGATGTCTTAGTAATATTTCTGACTTTGTAATATTTCTTCAAGTGTTTCATCGAAATTTCGAAGGGTCTTGTGATTTTTAATGTTGCCCTTTTTTTTGTGTTTGCAGGTAGGTCTAGTAGGCAATAGAATTGATCTGTGTTCAGTACACCGACGGAAAATACGTGTGAAGAATTTAGACAGTATGATGATGACAAACCTACCCCCTGTTATGCTGCCACCTATTACGGACTACGGGATGTTGGCACCTACTCTTGGAATAAAGGTGAGTCAATTTATCCGTCGGCAATCTCGAAGAACGAGTTTTATGATAATATAAAAATACGTACCAAGTACCAAGTGCAATCTCTAGCTGTTTTTTGGTCGTACGTTTATTTAAACGCGGGTATTAGCGAAAATAACAAATTACGCGAAACGATTTTGAAGTTATTATTCCACGTAAAAAACATCGACGATCGCTCTCGAATCAATATTTTCTACGAATAGGTTTTTGACTGGCAGAGTATAAACTCGCTACCGGCGATTTCAGTGATGATTGTAAACATTTTTATCTAAAAGAGAGACTATTGCTTGTTCTCGCCTGTTCTCGCTTCTCTACGATTTTTCCTCCCTCGGAGCAATTGGGACATTTTAGTGCCGATATATAAAAGCATCCCTGGCGGGTCTTTCGAGCATCGGATATCGCCTTTCATCCCCACGGCTTTTACAGCCTCACGCTGCACCCTTGTGCGAGCGCCCCCACAAGCCGCGAGATATTAATTAAAATTCCGTCCGAAATACTTCCAACGCAGAACGAGGGATGAGCGCGGTGTATTGGCTAACCGGTGGGGTTGCGCCGGCGCGTCTAATTTACTCGGCGATCTTCCACATTCTGAAATAAACAAGCAGCAACGGCCATCAACATTCCATTATGCTACTTACATCAACTCACCGCGTGAAAGCTATAATAGTTGCATTTATAATAATACAAGCAGGGCGATGCGATTAAAAACGTATTAAGATGATAAAAATTAATTAAAATTAAGACAAGGTAGATCTATATACGAAATTACGTATATAAAAGAGCAAGATGTCATATTATTAAATTGTATCTGCAAAATGTGCACTGTTATAAATCATCTTTTATATGAAATATTAATATTAATATCTTATCGCATATGTAACATTTCTTTTTAAAGGATAAAGGGACTTCCTCTCGTTAGACGTGAAATAATGTATGTGACATTTTTCATCAGAACAAAAACCGTATGGACTTCTCATGTAAGAGAAATAACCGATTCTCTTTCACATTTCTAATATCATCAAGCGATGGAAAAGCGAACTAATAATCGACCGTGCGATAAATTCCGATCTCAATGTGAACGTGTATACGAAGCATCGTTAACGACTGTAAATTTTCCGGAATATCGTAGTTTATTTTCTTGCGTTGTTTAGCAGCTGCATCATCGATGTTTAGCGAATTTGCGTTTTACAATTTATCGTTTCAATTCGTAAACGTCATCTTCGGTAAATTTATATAATAAGTGATACATCCCGTTCTTATCTCCTCGGAATCTTTTTTAATCGAGGGTAGACCGACAAGTAAAATAATAATTTGTACGCAAATAAAATAACTTGTTGAAAATTGGAGTGCGCGGTGTATATACAAAGTAACAAAGTAATTTCGGAGTTCGAGTTACTTTGTATACGGGACGAAATAAAGATGTGAAATGTAGCCGCCGCGGAAAAGATCCCGTCATGAAAGATCCCGTTACGTCATGTAATTCGTGCAATTCATCTTCGTTGTCGCTGCATTTCTGTTTCCCTGGCGAATGTAAGAGGGAACCTTTCAAGCATATTGGCGAGGCACGCTTTCAAGGACAGGTAGTTAGCGATTGAGAGGATACTCTTGGCGTTATTCTCGATTCTTTCTCTTCGGGGCGAGCCATTGTGTTTTCCGCGGTATCGTGTTTCCCGCTGGCTACTCTAACTTTAATTAAACTATTTCCTGCGGAAGATAACCGCACAGAATATAAAGTTACCCCGCTCGGCTGTAACTCGGAGTGCATAAACGCCATTTTCATTATTTTCATTATCATAGAAGTAAAAATTGGCTTGGAATTAACTGAATGGTATATCATTATTTGTATCTTTTACGGTTCGCCGTTTTCACGATCATCCCGCTTAGAAAGAAGTAGAAGACTTTATACTCGAGAAGCAACCGTATATACGCCTCGATACTGAAAATATCTTTCGCAACTCCGTCTTCCGGATAGTTGAGAAAAGTGAAGATAGTTTCTGCGACACGCTGTATAAGATTTTTAAGAGTTCAATGCAAAGAAGTTTGTCGGCTCGTCGCGGGAAGTACGCAACGTGCAGATTCATGTCGGGGAAGGGAGAGAAAAGAAGGGCGTTTTCGGGCTGCCGGCAAAGAACCGCTTTCATAGAAGCGCCGCGAACAAAAAGCTGAATAACATTAACTCGCCTTAATGTATTCCCTTAATTTTAATACACAATGCCCGTAGGTACGAGACCCCGAGCCATGTTTCTCGCAGCTAACCACCGATGAAGATTCTTACCCCTCCCTCCCCCCCCCCCCGTTAATCCTGCACATCCTAATCTTTTTATCTGATTAATATTTATATTTTATTAACATCAATCTCGCTTTTAGATTAGAGAGCGATATAACGCGATATAACGATATTTATTATAATTACCCGGATAAATCCCGGAAAAGAATAAAAGAATAAATTCCAAATTTATCCAGCCAACGTAATTCAGTCAAAACGTAGTAACGTGCACAAATACATATATTTCAGATCCATATACGATTCTCAGCGTTGCGTCGCGGTTATAGCTTCGTTGTCCGTTTCTCGTCGTCGCTGTTTGAAATAACATTCGCGGACGGGCCCGCGGGGGTCCTCGCTTGACGTTTCGCTCAGCGAAGATTACGTTCGGGATTGATTTTTCGCGCGTCACTTTGATCAATCCCGCGACCGCTCGACCGGAAGGACTTTTTATATACCGGCGGCGCCTCCTCCCTCGCCTAAAGGTCGCGTCGTCTCACAAAGCGTCCTTTTTCGCGAGTGCGTCAGACTGGGCCGAGCCGAGCCGAGCAGTGCCCCTCGTTTTCTCGCCGGTCTCGCGATATTTCCTTTCCGTTAATCGCGTCCAGGTCGGTTGATCCCGCCATATATACCCGGGAATTTTAGCCCGCTCGAACTCCCGAGGCGCTCTGACGTCATCCGTATTATTTCCACTTGTGCCCGGCGCACCGCCGCACACTACCCACCTGTCAGACGCACGCACCGTGTGCGCGAGAGAGCGAGCGAGCGAGCGAGCGAAGCGAAGCGAAGCGAAGCGAAGCCGGAGCAGCTAACGCGCGCATCAAATTTGAAATGATTTGATTATTGCGGGGAGCGGCGAATTAATTTCCATTCGCGACGGAATACGAGTTTCCGTTCCGTCCGTCTCCGCAACCGCTCGTCGCGTTTTATTAATAAATAAATGTTACGGCGCTTGATACATATTTCGCGCTAAGAGAGGGAATGGGGGGGGGGGAGGGGAGGAATTGGCTGATTGATTAACGAAAGCGGCATACGCGACGCCGCAACAAATTCGCTTAATTTTTGATATTTTCTCCGCATCCTCATTCTCTCCGGCGCTTGTTTATTACTCTCCTGTTTATTTTTATTTTTTTTTTTTATTTTTTTTTTTTTCGTTTGTTCGTTGTAAGATAAAAATTTAGATTCCACACATAATCGAGTCAAGTTACTCGTGTCGGTGTATATCCCGGTGCATTAATTTTATTCGGCATTATAATAAGTAATAAAAATTGCGAATTTTAAATAAATTTTCATAGCGGAGATGTTCTTATCGAGTCGCGATTGTTCACTTGATCGTGCATGCACATGCGCTTATTGTACATGGCTGCACAATAAAACGAAGAGGATGGGGAATGCGCATGAATATCCTGGCACCCCGTCGGTGACCTCGTCTCTTCGTTTGCATACGCAAACAGTGGAATTAGGGCTGGACACGTCGCGCTGCATGCTCGATCGGAGGTCCTTTGCCCCTGGGAACGCGTTATTGTCGTCTCGAGCAGGTTATTGTCGTCGAAACACGTCGGAACAATCGACAATATTGCCTGAAATTTGACGGGTCCTCAGGGCCTCCGTTGGCTGGCAAGCCACGTCTGCCAAACTCTCCTGTCCCGACTTCTTTCCGCTTGCGTAAAGTATTTAATTCGATTATGTCGTTATATCTTTTTTTGTTTTCAACAGTCATAAAATTTCTTTGATAAATTCATTTCGATGTGACGTCGCAAAATTAAAGTTATATTTTAATGCATTAATTTTGAGTATGACCAAAAATGAATTATAATTCACATTTTTAATTAATTTGCGTGGTGGAGATGTTTAAATAAACTAGATCATTCCACGTTGTTTTTATGATTATTATTATTATTATGTTTACTCGAGAGATAGTCTCTCGAGTAAACATAATAATACTCGTGATTTGCAAGAAATTCGCGAATGATTCACGGATTAGGGTTTTTTTCGCGAAAAATTGCTCGACGCTACGGGGGGTTGATTTGAATTTTCTCGGCTCAACCTCGGCAGCCCCTCGCCGTCGTGAGACACGTCGCATCGAATATTCCATAAATAAATCGACGTTTAATAGAAAATCGGAGAACTGCGAGGTACCTCATCGCTCACTGTCACGGCGCTTCGCTATCGGCAGCTAGTATCTCAATAATATTCAGTTTATAAACTTCAAATGGATCTCTTATTACGTTCCCGACGTGGCCCTGCTCTTCCTTCTTATTACGATTCTTTCAGGGTTGTCTCCAGCGCGCCGATTTATTTTGCGGTTTATGAGCGCCGAATGAATATTTAACGATGCTTTTCTATCTACGTTTATTCCATTTTTGTCTCTCTCATCTGATTTATTTTGATTTTGACGCTTTATCGTTGGCGGAAAGTGCTCGGCGTATCGGCGATCGTTGATTCGACTAATTTCGCGAGAATGTAGCTTAATCAAAAACATAATGATATGCTCGCGCCGAATGTCAGTTAAATGGACGGATCCATCACACTCGATCAAGCATTGTTCGCGTCTCGATAATTTAATGCTCAAGCGACTAACGACGTATCTCGGCCCATCCATCTTTTTCCGTTTCCTCCCGAATTTCGCGCGTGAAGATATACAATTTTCTTATTTCGGGAAGAAACCGCCTATCTCCTCCTAAACAGACGAGTTTCCCCAAATAGACAAGAGAAATTC